CCCTCCTCGGGTCAGTTCACAGAGAGTGATCGCAAATGCAGAACGATAACAGCAACTCGAAAGCCAGGCAGTGATGCAGGAGAAAAATTCGAACAAAGTCCGGATTTAAATTTTAAACACTGTTGTTGCCGTCTGTTGTCAGCTTTTTTTTTCAGTCTCATGGTTTTGGTTCCAAACCTTGAAAATGCTCTAAGCACTCCCGCAAGTATCAATGAGGGAGCAGCAACTTCAACTGCAGACAGAAAAAAGGACTCACACCAGCAAACGTGGGAAAAACACAGGAGGTTGGTTAGCTGGTACCCCCGGTTTTCAGCCAGAAGTTAACATGAGTTTTCAATTTTCCACTGATTCTGCCATATGTGGGGTGACCTTTTCTCCTTCTTTTTTTGGTCGGTGAGTGATCGGGGAGAGAGGGGGCGGGGAGGGGGGCGAAGCAGGATTTTGTTGGCCTGCCAAGCTACTGTGATTGATGCGGCTGCAATATGTTGGACACTTGAGAGTGTCAAAAACATTAGAAACATAAACATAAAAATTGTACAAGCATGGCACACTGATTCCTCTGTGGATGGACAAAGGGTTTTGCCCTTGCATTTGTACTACTTTTCGGAGTTTCTTGCCCTCTTCTTTCTCCTCTTTCATCTCTTGGGCCTGCGCATTTTGTCGATGTCTGGGTCAAACACCAGTCGGCTCTTCAGTTGAACATGTTTATTATGTCCTGACTTCAGGAGGGCACCGAAAGAAAGTCACTGAATTTTTTTTTCGTCTTTTTCTTTGGCGGGGGACCGGGGCGGGTGGAGGGGCAAGACACCCTGAATTTTTCTTTCGTCTTTTTCTTCACCGTAAGAGTTGGAAGGTGACCAACTCTTAAGGCTAAGGGAAGATGATGATGGATCAGAATTTCTCAGAGATATAATGAATCGAATATGAAAAGAGGACTTGCTTTGTACAGAAGGAACAACATATACAACGTATATAGCTCCAATGGTGCATCACAACCGAGGTTGGAGTTCACAGACGATCTCCCAGAAAAGCGATGACGGGTTTGTCTGACAAATGATGATAGACCGAGCGCCCACCATTGGTCACTCCTCCATTCATTTTCTTCTTCGCTTTCCTCCTACTTTAAACATCCTGTCAGCGAAGAGGAATAGTACCGCCTCAAGAAAAAGGCGGTCCTTGAAAAATGTACCACCTCAAGGTCCTCGACCAATGAAAAAAGGCGTGACCTACCTGCCGTGCACAGAAATTGGTGCTGCGGGAGACCAGAGGACGTTGGACGATGCCGTATGTTGGGCTCCCTTCCATCTTCCGTCTTCGCTGGAATTCTTTACCCTACCCAGTTCCTCATGTTCATAGGACCCCACCATAAACGAGTTCCCACCGACATAGCCATCTTCTGCTCCTTGTTGGCCCACTGCCTCCCTCTTGATCTCTTCTATGGACTTGCCAGCCATAACCTGTCCCCCCACCCACGGAGAACTGTCAGTCTGTTTGGCTCACAGCTGGCCTGCAAAAGACTCATCTGCTTCTCTCTCTCTCTCTCTCTCTCTCTCTCTCTCTCTCTCTCTCTCTCTCTCTCTCTCTCTCTC